GTAGCTTAACAACAAAGAAAAAATACTTTCACGTACATTTTCCTTTTTTTATAGACAGTTTAAAATTCATCATCCAAAAATTGATTTTTTTTATGTGTTAAAAATAATAAAGTTTGCACACACATGTTTTAGGCTCATAACACTCCAACTACACTAATTCTAATGGATGATGACATACCAAGTACACTAATTCTAATGGATGATGACATACCAAGTACACTAATTATAACGGATGATGACATACCAAGTACACTAATTATAACGGATGATGACATACCAAGTACATTAATTATAACGGATGATGACATACCAACTACACTAATTCTAATGGATGATGACATACCAACTACATTAATTCTAATGGGTGATGACATACCAACTACACTAATTCTAATGGATGATGACATACCAACTACATTAATTCTAATGGGTGATGACATACCAACTACACTAATTCTAATGGATGATGACATACCAACTACACTAATTCTAATGGATGATGACATACCAACTACACTAATTCTAATGGATGATGACATACCAACTACACTAATTCTAATGGATGATGACATACCAACTACACTAATTCTAATGGATGATGACATAACAACTACACTAATTCTAATGGATGATGACATACCAACTACACTAATTCTAATGGATGATGACATAACAACTACACTAATTCTAACGGATGATGACATACCAAGTACATTAATTATAACGGATGATGACATACCAACTACACTAATTCTAATGGATGATGACATACCAACTACACTAATTCTAATGGTCATCATCCATTAGAATTAGTGTAGTTGGTATGTCATCATTATACCAACTACACTAATTCTAATGGATGATGACATACCAACTACACTAATTCTAATGGGTGATGACATACCAACCACACTCTTTCTAATGGATGATGACATACCAACTACATTAATTCTAAAGGATGATGACATACCAACTACACTAATTCTAATGGATGATGACATACCAACTACAATCATCCAAATGATGATGACATACCAACTACAATCCTCCAAATAATGATGACATACCAACTACACTAATTCTAATGGATGATGACACACTAACTACACTAATTCTAATGGATGATGGCATACCAACTAAACTAATTCTAATGGATGATGACATACCAACTACACTAATTCCAATGGATGACGACACACACACACACACCCAACTGGACGCGACTTGTATCGACTGGTCCAGACATTTTCTTTTTAGGTTCAGGCCATCTTGCATTTTTGACACAATAGTACAACTTATATTCTCGAGATTTAGCTTTGTTTGTTTGGAATTGAGCACAAAGCTACACAACGGGCTATCTATGTTCTCCCCACCACGGGTATCGAAACCCGGTTTCTAGCGTTATAAGTCCGCAGACATACCACTGGGGGGGCGAGGTTTGGCAAACGTATGTCCGATTATAATAAAATAAGGCGAAGAAGGACCTCCTATGGAACAAAATTGATAAGTTAGTTCACTGACATGATATGGCCCCTGTTTTAGAATAGGCCTAGCTCATTTCATGAAAACAAAGTAACATATTCTAATTAACTGTTAAGTTAAATAATGCTTATTTTTGATTACCAAAATTTATTATGCCTGAAAAACTCTTCATTTATTAAAATCCATATAGAGCCAATCGCAACGTCGAGTCACACAGTTGGTGTGATATTGGTAGACTATGTCACGCACGTGTAAAACTAGTCGCGTGAAGTAGAGTTGTCGGTGTATCATCAACTTCAGGGTGTAGGACGTCTTACCTTTCGGACCGATAAAGAACAATATGATCTAATTATGTTGAATGTTTTTAAGCGTCTTGTACCACACTCACATTACCACTATCTTTATCTACCGTTGTGTATGATTCTGATAAAATGCTGATTATAGCTATTTTATGATATTCAGATTCCGCAGTCCCGAAATCTCCGACCCCGTGTTTTTATAAAACGTAGTTTTGTTTTTCCGATAGTTTTCACAAGACAATATAATGTATCTGTTTGTTGTAGACGACACAATGGAACACAACGGACTACCCGATTTTTTTAGCATTCTGAGTCCACTGACTTACTGCTAAGCTATCAGGGAGCAGCATAATATAACGTTGCTGTATAATAATACTGAAGGTTGAACAACACCCATTGGAATTCCATTCTGCGACAAACCACGTAAATCTGTAAGTGAATGTGAGGCCGATAATGGATAGCGGTGTGGATATATCACATTTCCCGCGCTCTAGGGTTAGGGCTGAGATTACCGGCTCGTGAGATTTCCCACCAAGAAGGGGTCGAAAATTCTTGAAGTAAACAGCAGGAGTTGATTCTTTTGGTTTTCAAGTTCTTTCTGAGGATTAAGCAAACGGGAAAAGAAACTTTTACGAAAATAAGCATAATCCTTACGATACCGGCAGTAATCCGGTGTTTCGGAGATGTTAGTTGTTGTTTTTTTTCTCGTGAGAGAAGAAATGACTCACTAAGATAAAACATGACTGAACTGGAAATATTTCTAAATGAAGATCAAGTAAAACACTTCCAAACTAGCGTTGACGAAACTTCAAACGAACTAGATATTATTAAAATTGAGTGGCTTATTTCTTAGCTTAAATAATACACCATTGAAAAAAAAAAGTTTCAGATTTTTGTATTATAATTCCCCCATCCCTAACTGAAAGGTTGTGGTGTAAATCGTCTTCTGATTGGTCGGTTTACTTACTGATTACTTCGTTTATTTCTTTTGGTTTCAAAAATATACACCATGTCTAGTAATTATATATTAGTGTTGCTATTATCTTAATATATATATATATATATTTTTTATGCGTAGTGCTATCTCACTAGCAATTAAAATAATTGCTAAGCGATTGTTGCGCCATCTATTATCCAATGTTATTACCAGTTGAATATTCAGACATTTATCGCTTGCAAAACACTTGCATGCCACTAGAATTTTTAGTCTTCTATGTGAGATGACGTTTCCATCATTTGAGGTCTGAAAAACGCGCATTTAGTCTCTCTCCATTGTTAATGAACATGCTTAGCTTAGCTGATCACTAAGGAAACTAGCAGTTACTAAGCGATGTAATAAAAGTCAATAAATACACTTACCTTTACTAAGCTATTAACAAATACGTACATATAATTTTAATATCAAAATATATTTAGTAAAAAAAGGATAACAATATCGTGCACAGTGAATTATCGTTCCGCTTGAATACTAGTTCTTGGTTATAAAATGACAAATATTAATTTATTTTGATATTAACTTTGATTATGCTTAGCGATTCGCAAAATATTTTACGTTCAGTTTGTCGTTTTCTAACATTAAACAATGCAATCGAAATTTGTGTGAGGTGATAAAATTTCAGTTTGATGAAACATATAAATACAGAAGACTTTTTTTTACCATTTATTATTGTTAACTTTAGATTCATAGTCCTTTTACTCACCTATGATAACTTAAAATACTTTAACTGTTTGGATAGCATGTGACATATCGTCACAATTAATTATCCATTATTCTTTATTTGATTGTTCGTTCTTTTCTTCATAAAACGCGAATTTTATTGTGGAAAAAAGTATGCATAGGCCTAATCTGATTTTTGACTTGCTACTTCTGCTGACGAGCTGTGAATTCGGCGAAACTAGTCTGTTGTAACAGGAGTGACGTATCAAAGAATAGATTAAGCCTATACACCATCTTTTCTTCATGAAATTCACGTTTTGGATAAAATATGAAATTAACAAGTAAATGTGTTATTGTTATCGCGAGATAGATGTTAAAGAATTAATTT